TCGGAGAGCATGGAGGAGACAGCCTAGGGAAAGGGGCTGGAGTTTAGGGGCCCAGTCTCCCCCATCTCAAGGGGGCCTGAGGCATCCTAGCCCAGCTCTGTGACCAGATTACATCTGTGCTGTGCTGTATCCTGGAGAGGCAATAAACTTCCTCTATTCCACCGGCTGGTGCAGTCTGTTTGTGCCATTTCGGGGTGCAGGAGACGGGGGACCCCCAACGCGCCGTCACACCATCTCAGCACTTTGTCGGCAAAAAGCGGCAGTTTAGAAGGGTTTCTGTCGAGAAAGAAAGCCTTTTTTGACAGACCCCTTATGCCTCCTGCAAGGGATCCTGCAAGGGTAGATTCCAACCCTGCCCTGCAAGGAGTATGCAGCACTTCAAAGTGCCATGCGCTGCTCGTAGGACGGGAGGAGATGGGGGCAGGGGAGTGTGTGACAAGTCCTGATTGGCCAGGGGGTGGGGGAGCTGTGCTAAGCTTCCTTTGCCCTGCTCCCGCTCTGTGTGAGCATACGGCACTTTGAAGGGCCATGCACTCCTCACAGGGCAGGGGGGAGGAAACTTTGCACACTCCTCCTGCCCCCAGGCCAACTGGGGCTTGTGGGCAGGAGAGCGCGTGACCTCCCCCACCTTGCGAGCAGCGTGTGGCACTTCAAAGTGCTGCATTTGCTCACCGGGCAGGAGGAAGCTTCGCGTGCTCCCCAGGCTCCAATTCTGGGGGCAGGGAGTGGCAGGGCCTCCATGGGCTGGATCAACCCACTTGGTGGGCTGGATCCTGCCCACGGAGGCCCTTTTGCCCACCCCTGTACTAGACTATTTGTTGCTTTTTTTTAAGTTTTTCCTGTTACAGATTAACTCAGCGATTAACTCGGCTACCCTTGAAGCGATTTTTTTTTTAAATCCGTTTGGGATCTGTTCTGCCCCTTCCCCAAAGTCCCACCCTGCTCATTCCATTACTCCCTCTCCTTCCCTCACTTTTACTGGGTTGGGGCAGGGAGTTGGGGTACAGGAGGGGGTGGGGTACTGGCTCTGGGAGGAGGGCTCAGGGCTGGAGCTTCGAATGTAGGAGGGGGTTCAGGGTGCAGGATGGGGGTGTGGGGCACTGGCCTGGGACAGCAGTCAGGACAGGGGATGGCTTTTGGTGAGGGTTCAGGGCTGGGGCACAGGGTGTAGGAGGGTATAGGTATTGGCTTTGGTTCAGGGCTGGGGCAGGTAATGGGGGTGCTGGTGCTGGGAGGGGCTCTGGGGGTTGGGAACAGCCTCAGCCTTACTGCCCTTTCCACCGTGTCACTGGGAGGCTATCTGCCTGCCTGCCCTGGGCCCATGCCACACCACCAGCTCAAGCCATGCCATGCCCAGAAGGGGCCAACAGGCCCTTGTAGCCTCAAGGGTAGCAAACAGGAGACATGTGGCTGTGCGCTCTGTCAGTACCACCCCCTCAGCTCCCATTGGCCACAATTCCCCATTCCTGGCCAATGGGAGGAGCTGCAGGGGGCACTGCTTGTAGTTAGTTCCACACACATGAGGCCATGCTGAATGCTTTTGGGGATGGGCTGGCAGCATGGGGCTGCCAGGTGGTGATGGGGATAAACCAGTCAATCGCAATTGACCGGTTGGTGACTACTGATGCAGGGAAAGTGTAAAGGATCTGGAGCTGAGCAACAAAGGGATGGAAGTATGAGCATCGGCTGAAGGAACCGGGTACATCTACTTTGGAAATCAGATTAAGGGGGGATGTGATAGTCCTCTTCAGACACTAGAAAGGCTGGATGGAGGAAAAATGGAGGAAAACAGTTCTCTTGCCACAGAGGGCAGGACAAGTGTTGCGGGCTCAAACTACAGCAGAGCAGACGATCTACTTCTACCTCCAAGCACCACAGCACAATGGCATGGACCGCTCGGGAGGTTGTGGAAGTATTTCACTGAGGGCTTCCAAAAGGAAGGTGGACAGCAATCTGCCTTGGGTGACTCACACACTACAAACCCTGCATCTTGGCAGGGAGTAAATTAGCTGAGCCCAGATTTACTAAAATGATGGAAAGCTCCTGTCTGTTGCTCTTGTGTACAGTGGTGCAGCTATCTGACCCTGAGAACAGGGTGTTCAGTACTATGGGAATGGAGGCTAGATTAGCACATAGTCAGACCCAATGGTGCTTGTAGACCAACAGACTCTCAGGTGCCATGGAGGAAGATTGTAAAGCATAAGTAATGGATAGCTCTGCAGTAACATGTCCATGGTGGAAACTTGCTCTTAGCCCCAACATGAAGGTTTATATTCCTAGCTGAGAGAATTCAGGAGATATTCACATCAATCTAATATTTTATTAAACCCTTTAGTGAGATCTTTGAGTTGGTATATTATGGCAGTGAGTTCCACAGATTAACACAGATCTGTGTGCTTGCCTGATCCCTGTAAGGGAAGCATGGGTAAACTGGCCATGAACTCAATCAGTGACTCTGGGAATCTCCAGGGGTTGAGATGGGCTGGGAAGACTTGTTGGGAATGAGATCTCAGGGACTAGGCTCCTGTGTGGCTTCGACTTGCCCAGCTAGGTATTTAGAAAGCTCTCTTTGGCTGCCTCTACGACCTGGCACTCTGCCCTGTGCTGTAAACAGTGTCAGGGTGCCTTTGATCAGCGTCTCTTCCTTCATGCTGGCGAGAGGGCTATGAACAGCCTGAGTCCATGTACTCAATGCATCTATGGATAAGTCGTGTGAATTGTGATGTAGCAACCTGCAGTAAGTGGTCTATTAGCACGCAAACAAATCATCTGTGATGATGAACATATTGGGACTGCTAAAATGGGTATTTGAGCTACAGTGCCAACCTGCTAAGATTGCTTTGGAGGCACCAGGAAGTAAAGATTAATCTTTTAATTAAAAGATTGTCATGTGATGAAATCTCTAGGAATAAGTCCTGGCAAAATTGGCAGATAATTTGAGCTGATGGTGCGATGCATAACCTGATCCCTTATGGATCTAAGAGGAAGCTTCCCTGCTGGTGTTTGGCAGGTATGTTATGGGCTGTGTATCTTCTATTGCCGGATGCTGCAGAGTCCATAGGTCCATCAGACTTGGTATCTGGCCTTAGTCAGGACCGGAGATGGCTGACCAGACCAATGGGCCAGTGGCTTGAGCTGCTGTGCCCTGTGGAGCTGGGTGAGTAGCTTATTAATGGAAAATGCACTTGTGAATCTGGGAGTTTGCCAAAAAGCCTGGGCTGAAAGGTCAGGGAAGTGAGCACCCTTCACTCACTGGAGAAAGGACTGTTGGTGCTGCCATCCATCTCACAACTTTTTCCCTAGTGCAGGTGCACTCGCCAGGGAGGAAGAAACCCACATTCAATGTGCTTCCTGTGGAGGTAGCATCTGAACTTGGGGGTTCCCATGTTTCAGGAAAGTATCCAAGACCCTGTACTGTTGATTGCTCTGGAACAGGCTCTCTGGATCTCCTGGGACAGCTGTGTATAAAATACTTAATTGGTCACTGGGCCAGAGAGGCACTGACCCTTCGGTTAAGGCAGATTCCTGGGAGAGGGGAGACCCATCTTCATAACCCATTTGCAGTAGAACTGCTTCAACCAGGGCATGGGGAGGGGGGGAGGCACACACCAGGAGCCCTCTTAGCCCAATTGATTTGGCACTTCCAGGGTTGTCCATAACCATATGCTGAATGTGCAGTTGTGTAGTGCACCTGAAAATTGTGCTTGTGTGCCCAAGGATAGCTCTGACCATCTCTGCTCCCAAGCCCCAGGGACTGGGCAGAAGGCAGGCTGGGGAGGAATGGCATGGGGCAGGAAATCCCCAAGCCCCAGCAGAAACCACACTGGAAGGGAGCAGCCTCAATGTCTAGAGCCCAAAGTGTAAGGATGCCCTGGGCACTTCTGTGCAACATTTAAGACCTCAGTCAGATTTTCTCCACATCAGACATGGGCGACTCAAACCTGGGTCTTCCATAGCCCAGGTGAGTGTTCAAGCCATTGGGCTAAAGATTTTAAGGTGGGTGGATAGTGACATCACTTCCTCCTCTGCCTGTTTTGTGACTCTCTAATACTTTGCTTTTATGTGCATAAATGCCCAAAATCAAATGAAGCCGTTGGTTTCTGGGTGAACAGAATTTTGGGTTCAACCCGAATGGAATCTTTGTCAGCTATTGTGACTCCCCATCATTGCTTTTTGGTTCAACCAATTATTTTTAGTTTTTGGAACTGTCAGCAAACCTAAAAGTCGGTTATCCACCAGCTCTACACAGCAGCTTTCTGACGCTCCTTCTGTCCCTGGCCATGATCTGTCTAGACTCACCTCTCTCCCTGCTTTCCCCTGCAGCCTGACTGGGAAAGAAGGTCTGACCCATCTTCCCTCTCTGGGCCCCTCTGCAAACCCTGCCCAAGGGAAGCCACACCTCAAACAGTGTGACCTGCTCCAGCTGTCTCCTAAGCAGAAGAGGCTCTGCCGGCGGGAGCCAGGGCTGGCGGAGACTCTGCGAGATGCCATCCGGCTCAGCATCATGGAGTGCCAGTACCAATTCCGCAACGAGCGCTGGAATTGCAGCCTGGATGGACGGACCAGCCTCTTGAAGCGAGGTATGCAGGACCCAGCCTGCCATATGAGGAGAGATTAGTAATCCTGGAACTCTTCAGTTAGGAAAAGAGACAGTTAAGTGGGAGGGGAGATATAATAGAACTCTATAAAATCATGACTGGCATGGAGAAAGTGAATCAGGAAGTGCTATTTACTCCTTCCCATAACACAAGAACTAGGGGGGTTACTCAATTAAATGAATAGGTAGCAGGTTTAAAACAAACGAAGGGAAGTATTTCTTCACACAACACATAGTCAACCCGTGGAACTCCTTGCCAGAGGACATTGTGAAGGCCAGAACTTTAACAGGGTTTAAAAAAGAACTAGATAAATTTATGGAGGATAGGTCCATCAATGGCTATTCACCAGGATGGGTAGGAATGGCATCCCTAGCCACTGTTAGTCAGAGGCTGGGAATGGGTGACTGGGAGGATCACCTGATGATTACCTAGTCTGTTCATTTCCTCTGGGGCATCTGATACTGGCCACGGTGGGAAGACAGGACACAGGCCAAAGGTCCATCTAGTTCAGACCCCATATGAGCATTCTGCTGTACAGAACCCTGTGTTGGGCAGTAGCTGAGCCTCAGCAGAACAGGAGACCAGGCTTAGTTTAGAGGGCACGAGTCTTCCTTTGGAATGTAGGACTGGGAAAAGGGCAGAACTGATGCTCTGCTCACAGAACAGGCAGTGACAAGGCAGGTTTAACAGGTGGAATTTAAATAACAGAAAGGAGCATAAACTCTGACAAATGATGTATACAAATATAATCAGGAAGCCGCCAAAAAGGAATTTTGAAGAACAGCCAAAAACTCAAAGTAATAGCAAATGTTTTTAGTACAGCAGAAGCAGGAAGCCCACTAAACAACCAATCTTGGATGATCGAAATGCTAAAGGAGGACTCAATGGCCTTATTGTCTTTGTGGAAAAACGAAAATTGTTTGCATTGGTCTTCATGGCTGAGGATGTGAGGGAGATTTCCAAACCTGAGCCGTTCTTTTTATGAGACTAATCTGAGGAATTGTCTCAAACTGAGGTGTCATTAGAGGAGGTTTTGGAACACTATTTAGTTTACCAATTTAACAAGTCACCAGGACCAGATGTCATTCACCCAAGTGTTATCAAAGAACTCAAATATGAAACTGCTACTCAACTAGTTGCCCCCCGCATCAGAGAGGCAGCAAGTGGGGGAGGCAGGAGCCAGTTCTGCAGGGTACTGAGGGGAGCCAACTTAAAAGCCTGATGGCTCTTAATACATTTAAAAAGCAGACACGAATTGGCGGGGACTGGGAGTGAGCCAGGACAGCTGATTCCTGGGTCACTCCTGGTCACCCCACTGCAATTCTGTTTTTTAAATATATTAAGACTCTTAAGCAGGCTGGGAGCTAACGCTGCTGCAGCTCTGCAGTTTTCCCCTTTCTTAACTAATTGAGTAGTTAATGGAAATTACATTGACTACATGATTAGCTGATTACCCACAATTTAACATCCCTGGTTTGTAATCTATCCTTTAGCTATCTTCCAGTCATTGGTACAGAAGATAATTTAATGTGGCACTAACTTTCAAAAAGGGCTCTAGAGGTGATCCTGGCAATTACAAATGTGCAGACAACTCAAACTGGTAGAATCTATATATTTGGGAGAGTTTGAATGTCAGCTGCCAAGAAGGTTAGTCTATTATATCGACAGTTACTTTTATTAATTGCATTTGTAACTGCCTCAAAACTATATCAAGTTTGACTAACAAGACGTATTTTCAATAAAAATAAGCAGGCAATTGATTATGCCTTTTTAAAATACTTTACTAGCACTGTGTGAATCAGAAGATGTCTTACTTTGGTTCGCTCTCAATTCTGAGAAATTGAAAAAATCGACTTTTTCCAAACATTTCAAAATGACAGTTTAAATCAAAATTGAGAACTTTGTTTTGGGTTGAACAAGCATTGTTTCAGTTTTGATCCTTTTTTACACTTCTATTTAAAATTAAAGTTAATTTCAGAATTTTTATTACAGATTTTGTTTGATTGGCAAACAAAATTATTTTTATTTTCTTCCTGGCATTTACTGAGTCTTTTAAAATCAAAACAAGTCAGCAAAACTGACACCGATTAGTGATATTTTTCAGTGAACTTGAATCTGTAACTTTCACTGAAAGGCTGGTCAAAAAGACGCCCAGAATTGTTCTTCCCTTCTTTCCTCCTGTGTCACCTTTCTATGCTAATGGATGTATGGCTAACTGGCCTGCTGTGCAGAACATCTGCTTGTAAAGATTGCAACATTGATTTTTTTTCCAGTTTTCTGTAATGTCACTGGTGTCTTAATATAAGGTGGATAGAAAGCTGGCTAGATCATTGCTATCCATTGAGTCCAATCAGCAGCTCATTATCTGGCTGGCATCAGAGTTGGTCAGTATTGGAGTGCCCCAAGGGTTAGTTTTTGGGCCAGTTTTGTTCAAAATCTTTAATGACCTGGATGAGTGGATGGATTGCACCCTCAGGTTCATGGATGACGCTAAGCTAGGGGGAGTGGTAGATACACTGGAGGGTAGAGATAGGGACCCTAGTGACCTAGAAAAAATTGGAGAACTGGGTCAAAAGAAATCTGATAGGGGTTCAACAAGAACAAGTGCAGATTCCTGCACTGGGGATGGAAGAATCCCAATCACTGTTACAGGCTGAGGATGGATGGGCTAAGCCAGGAGTGGACAATAATTTTTGGTGGAGGGGCCACTCCAAGATTTTGGAAAGTGGTTAAGGGCCACACTCTTCTGTGGAGGAGGTGCAGGCTCCAGGATGGAGGTTGGGTGCAGAAGGGCGCATGGGGAAAGGGTCTGGGGGGCTGGATACGGTGTGAGGTCTGAGAGGGAGTTTGGGTGAAGGAGGAGGTTGTGACTTGGGTCAAGAGATGGAGGGAGTGGAAATGCAGGAGAGTATTTTGGCCTGGGAGAGGTATGAAAGAAGGGGTGCAGGGTCTGATCTGAGGTGGGGGGTGCAGAGGGTTTGGAAGGTGACTTGGGGGGAAGGGAGTTGGGGTACAGGAGAGGCAGGGGTGCCAGAGGCAGACTGTGGCTAGGAGGTGCGTACCTAAGCATACCTGCTGCAGCTCCAGAGCATTGAAAATGCAGCCTGCTCCCTTTACGTGGCTCTCGTCTCCAGGAGGAGGGAGGAGAGAGGCTCACGCCACCCCCAACCATCAGGCCAATCTCTCAGCTCCCATTGGCTGGCTGTTTCTGGCCAACAGGAGCTAAGGATTGGGCTGAGGGCGGGGAGAGCACATGAAGCCTTTCCCCCCCGGAGTAGAGTCACACAGCACAGCTCTGCATTTCAAACAGCAGCTGCTTCGTGCCTGCGGGTCCCGGAGGGGTGTCCACGGGCCAGATCCGGTGGCTTGGCAGGTTGGATCCAGCCTGTGAGAGGTATCTTGCCCACCGCTAGGGTAAGCAGTTCATGGGCCTGTGGATTATAGTGGATGAGAAGCTGGATGTGAGTCAGCGTGCCCTTGTAGCCAAGAAGGCTTATTAGGCTGCATTAAGAGCATTGCCAACAGATCTAGGGAAGTCATTATTCCCCGTTATTTGGCACTGGGGAGGCCAAATCTGGAGTATGGTGTCCAGTTCCCGTCCCCCTCGCCCCCATTACAAAAAGGATGTGGACGCATTGGAGACAGTCCAGTGGAAGGCAACAAAAATGATTAGGGGCTGGAGCTCATGACTTATGAGGAGAGGCTGAGGGATCTGGGTTTATTTATTCTACAGAAGAAAAGAGGAGTGGGGGTGGGGATTTGAGAGCAGCCTTCAACTTCCTGAAGGGGGTTCCAAAGAGGATGGTGAGAAGCTGCTCAGTGATGGCAGATGGCAGAACAAGGGGCAATGGTCTCAAGTTGCAGTGGGAGAGGTCCAGGTTGGACATCAGGAAAAATTCTCTCCCTAGAAGGGTGGTGAAGCACTGGAATGGGTTACCTAGGGAGGTGATGGAATCTCCCACATTCGAGGTTAAGTCCTGGCTTGCCAAAGCCCTGGTTGAGATGACTTTACTGTGGTTGGTCCCGCTTTGAACAGCGGGTTGGACTCAATGACATCTCTTTCATCTTAGGATTCTATGATGATGTTTTCAAAAACAACATTGATTCCTTGGCCAATAAGGATAAAACTCTTGGATCAAGTTACTTGATCCAACACATCTAAAAGATTTGCTACTTTGTTTTAATATCCTACATCCTTATTGATGGACTAAGAGGTATTCAGTTATAACTAAGATTCTAAGGTCTCAAGTGACAATTGTAATCGTGTAGCTGGAAGCCCTATATAACCCAGGCCATAAAACTTCCCCCAAAATAATCCCTAGAGCAGAAGTTTTGGAAATATCCAATCTTGATTTTTAAAATTTAGTGATGGAAAATGCCCCATGACCTCTTGTATGTCATTCCAAAGGTTAATTACTCTCGCTATTACATTGATTCAGGAGTAAAATGTTTAACATCAGCTTCCAGACACTAGATCATGTTAGCTCTTTCTCTGCTAGATTGAAAACCCCATTCCTAAATATTTATTCTCCATGTAGGCACTTAGACTGTAATCAAGTCACCCCTTAACTTTCTCTTTGTTCAGCTGAATAGATTGAGACCTTTTGAATCTATTACTAAAAGCATGTTTTCTAATCCTTTAACCATTCTCATGCCTTCCACAACTTAATACCTTCTTGAGTTGTGAATGACAGAATTAGACATTTCATTCTGGTGGCAATGCAGTTTATGCATCCAAGGGTTGAACTGGTCAGCGTTGCACTGAAAGCTTGTATTTAGCTGATTATCTACCACGTTCTTTGTTCCTAGATGTAGAGATTTACATTTAGCAGCATTAATACACGTTTGCCAAGTGGTCCAGACCACTCTGAATCGGTGACCTGCCCTCATTATTTCTACTCACCCAACTTTTGTCATCTGCAGACTTTACAGTGATTTTATTTTCTTCCAGGTTATGGATGAAAATGTTAAATAGTGAAGGG